GAAGTTATTCCTACTCCTCTTTCATCAATCTTTTCTGGACTTGAACCTAGAGAGAGATTATAAGAATAATGAAAGTCAATCTCCATTCGCTATGACTTTCTCAGAAAAGGACTGGCAAGCTAATAGACAAGGAGCATCAGCTCATTATTTACAAATTGCCGTGTACCATGGCTTGCTGAAACCCTTTTGTGGGCCACTCTGGAGGGAAGTCTAGAAATCGTGCCCATCTTCTAATTCTGTCACAGAGAATGGAGCATAGCATCTCAAAAAATATCAACTCGATTCTTCAGGGGCTTAGGGTGATAGGTGGGCATGTCCCATGGCTGGGCCAGATCGACAATTTAGTCACTTGTAACACTAATAGAACTTGAACTCAGGAAACTTCAATTCTTTTTTTAGTTCCACCCAACATGAGCTGTGGGACTTTAAGACAAGTTATGTGATTCGTTTTCTCACCTGTAAAATGGAGCAAGTGCTATTGTCTCTCAGTAGAGTTGTTAACATTATTTAAACTCTATGCATGTTCAGTATCATGATTATATAATACTTTGTGATTTATACTAACCATGGCTCCCAAACTTTTTATCTTTTAGTCAGTGAATGAATTAAAAAATCTACTCGAGATGCTTCTTGCCAGGACAAGAGTCAAGAAATCTAAACATACCAGAATGCTTATGTATGTTCACCTTTGCACTTAGATGTATTTTGCTTTTTATTCATCATTATCCTTTCTATGTTTTTACCAGTCCAAATAACAGGGGAATAGAGGTACTTAAAGAAATTGCCTGTTTTCTAAGACCTAGTTTTTAATGCATTTTTTAGGATCATGAAGCTGTTGTTTAGCTCAGCTCTTTGGAAAATCAAAAGAAATTAGCTCTTGACAAAAACACCTTAAAATACACCATGGAATTATTCAGAGTCCATCTAGAATTGTAAAAGTACAGGGGACTTGTATTTTAACCCCACTTTTATTTTATTAGTTTATAACCCATGAAAAAAATAGCACTGGGACTTGATGAGCAAAACCCTTGGTTCATGTGTCATTTATTACTCCTCTGTCTTCTATTTGCCTTGCTCTTAGAAATGTGGTATTTTTCTATATCGTGTCAAGAGTAATTAAATATAAACATTTTTAATTGTAGCACGCATAATCCTTTTCCCAGCACAGACACTGTGAATTTTGAGAAGTCTGCATTGCTTACATTTTATTTCAGCCATCAAGGAATGCTTTGTTCATCTATTGACTTAATAAACCATAATGTCAGTGAATAAAGACACAACTTTTTGAAGCTTTCTGTGTGGTAATTTTCTAAAATGAATATTTTCAAACTTTGTTGTTGGTTTCCATTAGGTGTTAAATCCTCATGTGATTAGACAATGTTCCCTCTGGTCCTTTGCTAGGCCACCCATCGTGTGTGTGTGTGTGTGTGTGTGTGTATGTGTGTGTGTGAATCCTCACCTAAGGATATTTTTCCATTGCTTTTTAGAAAGAGTGGAAGGGAGAGAGGAAAGGAGAAAGAGAGAGAAACATTGATGTGAGAGAGACACATCAACTGGTTGCCTCCAGCATGAGCCCCCAAGTAGGGGTAAGGAGAGAACCCACAACCCAGGTACATGCCCTTGACTGGGAATCCAACCTGTGCCACTTTGGAGTGCAGGCTGACTGAGCACTCTAGTATAGTAGAACTACAAAGGAAAAGTAGGCAAAAGGGCAGTTTTCAGACATGCAAAAAGACTAAGGGTCTTCAAAGGGCTTAGTGATATGCAAGGGCTGGGTTTCATGGGGAAATAGCCAAGGGAGTGACAAATGGACAATTAACAGGTAAGCAGCCTGGAGGTTTGCAAAGGCCTGCAGGTATGCAAAAAGGTCTGGGGATCTTCAAAGGGCTGGCGATTCTGGTTTCTGCAAGATAGTTGTTAATCTTTCCATGATAATAGGCAGCTCCAAATGGGGAGGAAGGGATGCATCTCCAGGTCAGCTCCAGCCAGGGTAGAATGTGACTTCTTTAATCAGAATAAAACAATTATGGTTAACAGAGCATGATTAATATTTCTTACAATACTAGCTCTTCCCCAACATTCTATTTCTGCCCCCTTACATGAAGACTACGAAGTCCCACAACCTGACATTTGCAAACGGGAGACCCAAAGAGCTGTTGGTATAATTCAGTTCAAAGGCAGGAAACAAGATGAAATATCCCAGCTCAAGCAGGCAGGCAGGAAGAAAAAGAGTGACTTCCTCTCTCCTCTGTCTTTTTTCTCCTTAGGCTTCAGCCTTCACCATGGCCTGGAGTGAGAGTGCCTTCAGGCAGAATGGGGGTTATGTGAATGATGGGGGGCATTTAGGACCCATTAAATGAGGAAGGACATTTAGGCTAATAGCTGTTAGACACTTGTTAACATAAAAACATTCAAACCTGTAAAGGATTTTTGTGAGTTTATTTGAGCCAAACTGTCGACAATTGCCAGGAAGTAGAACCTCAACAGTTTGAGATAGTGCTCCAGAGAATGCGGGTTACATCTATATTTATACATTGCAATCAAAGGAAGGGACATAGATGGGTTACATGAGACCCATTGGTGATAGGCTAGAGAGGCGGGAGAAAGCAAAGTGGGGGAGGGGAGGCCCTGGGATTGGATAAAATGTAAAATGATAGACACATACTTAGGTGAGTGCAGGAACAATTGACATGATAACAATGAAGGAATTTGTTGTATCTGTCCTAGTGCCCAGGCACATCAGGTTGTGCCCCAAGGGGTCCAGAAAAAAAGGAAGTTACAAGTTACCCAGACATTTCAAGGGTATGTTATTACAGATGAAAAAAAACAGGCTCAGTTAAGGTAAAGGTTGACCTTGTCAGTGAAGATACCGGCCTAGGATGTAACTGCCCACTATAACTGCTTTTAGGTAAAATTTAATTTCAGACCATCCTTTGTGGTTACTTCAGGTCTCTGAGCTTGCAAGACTGCCATGCAGGCCTTCTCTGAGCTTGTCAGTTTAGCATGTGGCCCTCTTCATCCACACACAGTCCTTAGTGCTTGCCATATATCATCTTATTTAATTTTCATATACTCCCTTTAGTTTAGTGATGTTTCCATTTTGCAGATGATAACGTTGACATTCAGAAAGAGTTAACCAATGTCAACAACAAGGAAATGGATGCCTGGAGTTTACCTCAGATATGACATTCTCTTTCCAGGACAGTACACCAAAGTCTGGGCACCTGAACATTATACTTATTCACTGTATATTTTAGAAACTAATAAGAAAAACTAACAGCTAAAAATCATAATAAGAAAGTTGTCCACGTATTTAAATAGTTAAAGCACCAAATCATCTGTTCAGTGTTTTGTATAAATTAAAAAGAGATAAAGTAACAGCATGTAAAATATTTTGGCGCAGAGCATGGGGACTAATTATACTCTCTTCCTGAGAGTGCTGTTCCTCAACATTCTAACAAGAACATAGATAAGGAGCAAACAAGAACATAGATATGAAAAGGAGTAGAGAAGCCAAGCAGCTTGAAAGGCTTTAAAATGTTCTTTTGTTTTCTTTTTCTAGAAACCAGTTAAGAAAAGTGGGTTACAGTTAATGTTTCTTCCAACCATCTGATTCCCTGAAGTAGGAAAGTGGAGAAAAGTGAGCAGAAGCCATGTGACTAAGCCAGACCCCGCAGTCTCCTCAGTGCTGAAAGGCATCCTGGTACTTGTGGTTGCATATAGACTGATTCCTAGGATTTTCTGGAAACTTCATATCATAACAACTGACCAGGAGAAAATGGATCTGACCTGCTCTTAGTGTTGTATCATAATTTTTAAAAAGGTGGCTGTGAAAGAATAAAAGGAATGTTACAAACGGCACAGGCCTAGCTTCCTGCTTTATCTCAACTCCCCAGGTTCCTCCCGCGCAGAGATAGGGGCAAGAGGAACCAAGCCCTTAAGACTGTTCTAGGAAATATCCCAGACACAAAGAGCAGGCTGAGCAAGCCATTCTCCGATTAACCATTGAGATAAACAGGATGTGAAAATACCAGGCAGGAATGATGACTAAACCTTCAGCCTTGTCAGGACACAACCCAGACCCCTTTGGAATTCCTTTGTTCCCCTCTT